ATAATCCTCAATAACTTTCATAATAAGCTGTAAAGATGTACAATCTGTGGAGGTAAATATAATGATGTCATCTGCAAAACTCAAATGGTTAATTTGAGGCCCTTTTCTTTCCATATTGAAGCCTCTATATAGGTGATTAGCTTGTAAATGATTAAGCTTTCTAGAAAGAAATTCAGCCCCAATAATAAAAAGGCCTGGAGATAGGGGATCCCCTTGTTTAAGACCCCTAGTTGACTGAAAGAACCCATGTCTTTTACCATTAATCACTACAGAATACTAGTTATTGCTCATAATTCTCCAAGCTCTATCTATGAACAGCTCACTAAATCCCATTTTTCTTAAAATAATACAAGTATATGCCCATGAAACCCTGTCATATGCTTTAACCATATCTAACTTAATAACTACATTCTTGCCCTCTTTAGGAAGTTTAATACCATGCATAATTTCTTGAGCTAGCATGATATTTTCAGAAATGCTTCTTCCTTTCACAAATCCAGATTGATTATCTGAAACAATGTTAGGGAGAATAGAAGCCAGTCTAGTACTAAGGATCTTGGATATGATTTTATTGGTAAAGTTACTAAGGCTGACAAGTCTATAATCCTTCAGCTTATTGGGATGGTTGATTTTAGGAAGCAAAACTAGACAGGCATGAGTCATATATCTAGGTAATACCTTCCCACTAAAAAAAGACTTTACTGCAGCCATCAGATCTTCTTGAATTATATCAAAACATACTTGAAAGAATTTTCCTCCAATTCCATCAGGTCCTGGAGCAGAGTTAGGATTCATACTCATAATAATGGTTTTCAGTTCCTCCATATCAGGCATTTTATCTAACCTAGAGTTCTGTTCTAAGGTTATCAGTTCAGGAATACACTGCAACATGTCCTCATTAATCTTTTCATTGTTCCCTGTAAATATGTTTTGAAAATAATCACAAGCTTCCTTAGCCACCTTATCTTCACCTTGAATCCATACTCCACTATCATCCATAATTTTGTGAATAAACATTTTGTTTCTTCTCCCTCTAATCACAGCATGAAAGAATTTAGAATTTGCATCACCTTCCTTTAACCACTGTAACTGGGATTTCTGTTTAAGGATAGCATGTTCCATTTTCAAGTACTTTACATATTGAGCATTGGCTATACTTAACTTCTCTCTATTTTCTATATTATTTTCATTAACCATATCTTCTTCAGCACTCTTAACAGCCTCCTCATACTGTTTCATTTTTCCAAATACATCCCCATATTCCTTGTTAGACCAGCATCTTAGTGTTTTTGTTAACCTTTTCAATTTTGTGTGTAAAATCCACATAGGCTCTCCCTTGACCTGTCTTTTCCAACATTTCTCTACAGTTGGTAAAAAAGTTTCATTCATAGTCCAGTAATCTAGAAGCCTAAAATATTTAATAATCTTAGATTGTTTATCACTCATCTCCAATAATAAAGGACTGTGATCAAAACCTACTGAAGCCAAATGAGTTATATTACTTTGGGGCATTTTATCTAACCACTTGTCATTCACCATACCCCTATCTAATCTTTTCCATACTCTATCCCCATTTTTCCTGTGATTACACCATGTATAATCCTGACCATTGTACCCCATATCCATCAATCCACAAGCCTCTATAATACTAATAAATTCCAGACTTTTGTTAATATTATATTCTTTACCCCCTCTCTTTTCCTGAGTATCAGCTATTACATTGAAATCACCAATAGTACACCAAGGAAGACCAGTGTTAGACCATTTCAACATGCTTTCCCAAAGAGGTCTCCTTAAAAAGTCTTTACATTTAGCATAAACATAAGTATTAAGAAACTTTTCACTGCACTCCTCATGTATAATTTCACAGGTTATCTGCTGTTGATCACTTTCCAAAATATTACATTTCACTTCCTTAGACCAAAACAACCAGATTTTGTTATTAGAATTACTATGAGCATAATGCATCATTAACTGCATTCTATAAGATTCTAACAGTGAAACATTAGCAAAAGGCTCCAGTATAACAATTATGGACAGATTATGAATCTTTTTTAAGTTGATTAATCTTTCAATAGAACCAAAAGTCCTAATGCTTCTAGCATTCCAACAAATTATCTTAATCATCATAATCCTCTACTTCTAGCTCTAGTATTAGGTTTTCTAATACTAGTATTTTGGTTATTTTTCAACAATTTCCTGCCTCTTGGAGAAAGACCTTGTTTGCCAGTGACTTCTCTAATATCATCCACATTAGAGGTGTGTAACAAATGGCTTGTTTGAATTTGAGAAGCTGTTTCAATAATTTCAATAGGTGTTCTCCCTTCCCCTAAGGATTGAGTGTCTTCATCAATCTCATCCTCAGAGTCAGGTTCCTTATATTCATCATTATCACTTCTTTGTTGATTAGTAGGATCCTTAGCAATGTTAGAAGAACTAGCATTATTTGTATTAATAACCTGCTGTTTATCAGGAACTTTAGGTTTATCAGGAGGTACATTACTAATATTAGTCAAATACCCCCCTTGATCATCCATTTTGCCTTTACCTTTATCAATTCTAGTCTGATTTATATTATTTTTCCCCTGACCACATCCAGCCTCACCTCCAACAGCTACACCAACATAATTATCAACAGTATGCATTAGAGTATTGGATGGGGGCATTGTGTCCATACCTGAATTATTTATATTCCTTTGCTGATTTCCAGTCTGAGTAGTTCTTGTTAATTGTAGGTCCATCCTTTGCTGATTATTGTTATGGACTTCCTGTTCTGTGGATGCTGTATTGTAATCTTGTCTTTGTGATTGTTTATTTACTCTATTTATATTCTGAGTTCTCATCTCATTTATTTTTGCTGATTGTTCCTCCACTTCAGTTTCCAATGTATTGAATTCCTGCACTTCTAAATCAATATAAGTGTTTTGTATAGGAATAGAAACAATACCTGTCTGCATCTGAGGATGTTGAACTACTGATCTATCAGTAAATCTGACTTGTTGAGTAGTATGTCTTCTTCTTTGGGTTTGCCATTCAGCAGGTGTCATTTGTTGTTGTGTTTCTTG